CCCCCATGGGTCCCCAGGGAGGCGCCAGCCGCTCTGTTCTCTGTACCTGAAGCTCCGACAGCAGGACACTGGCAGGTGTCGGGGGGGTGGGCGGTGCTGTCATGTCCCCCACCCGTCTCTTCTCCCCCTCCTCGTTCTGCTCTGTGACCCCCACAGATGGGTCCCTGGTCTCTTCAGCCCTGTGTGTGCTGGTGGTATTCGGGCAACAGGGGAGCGAGGGGCCAGCAGGTGCCCATGTGAGGCCACAGCTGTGCCCTCTTCCTGGGTCCTGGCTCCTCAGGGCCACCCCTCCCACTCCCTCCTGCTGCCAGCCCCTCACACTAGGGCCTCAGGGGGCTGCCTTCCACTCCCAGACCCTAGGATGCTGCCCTGGGGCCCTGGGAAAGTCACCTAACCCCTCCGTGCCTCACATCCTCCTGTATGTGACGGGGACAGTAACGGCACCAGCCTCCTTGGGTCACTGCCATGAATAAATGACTTGATGCATAGGAGGTGCCTCAGACAGTGCCTGATACACAACAAGCACTGGATAAGGTGGCTGCCCCTGGTGATGTCATTAGGTGCTCCCTGCCACTTCCTGCAGCGGGCACTCTGCTGTGGCACTCCTGGGCAGCTGTGAGGGACAGACTCTCATTCCTCTAATTTTCCTGCTGCAGAAACTTCCGCAGACAGGCTCAGTGCTTTCCCACACACAGGTAGAACACGGCAGGGTCAGGCCCTGGGCAGTCTGATTGCTAGCTCTCTGGACCAGAGAGCAGGGGTTCCCATCTCCAGCCAGAGTGGGTAGTCGTGTGGGGGTGTCCTGCACATTGTCAGATGCTCAGCAGCATCCCTGGTCTCTCCCTCTAGGTGCCAGCCCCCCACACCCCTGCGCACGACACTGATGTCAACAGCAACCAGGTGGAGAGACCCTGGTACAGGGATTATGCAGATCCAAGAAAACCCTCAACGTTGGAGGTGAGAGCCGTGCACTCACTCGAGCGGTTGGGGTGAGAGGCGAGCAGATGAGTTACCTAGAGCAGCACCTGGAAGACAGCCCACGGAGACGCACTGGAGACGCCATTGGTGGGTCAGAGCAGAACTCCAGAGAAGGCCCAAGGAACTCACAGGAAGACCAGAACTAACTGAACAAAAATCCAAAAGGTAAGAATTAAAACCCCAAGGGACAGACCCTCCCCCCCCCCAAAAAAAAAATCTCATAAGACGACAAACTTTAATCCTGGTAAATCAATTACATTAAACATTAATGGTCCAGATACACCAATCAAAACACAGAGACTGGCAGAGCAAATTAAATTATATGCTGTCCATCTGGAGCTCACTTCAAGTGTAACTATGGAGGCAGAAAGAAATGGGTGTTCTTGAAATTCCAGAAATGAAAGAATTTTGAGATGGGCAAGAGGGGGGTGTAAATATAATAAGTGATTCCTTACTCCTCGGTTTCTTGAGTGAGATGGGACAACTCAATGTGTCCAAAGCAAGTTTGAGACAACTCTGTTTTAGGAGTGGGCAGGGTAGTGGCCTCACTCAAGGTCTCAGTGCTTCATCTAAGAGCTAAACAGCATGCGGCGGGCTAGGAGGGCACTGAGGTACCCAGGCTTTCCCTCCAGGTTCACGTGGAGCACTCGCCGCGAGAGACCACCTCCCAGGTCACCAAGGAGACCTTGGTAACTCAGAAGAATCGAGGTTGCAACCAGAATGAATGTTCTCTTCCTGTGATGAAATGACCAGGAGTGAAGAACAGGACCCCAGGAAAGTCCTCAAACGTGAACATAAACAGAGCCATTCTACATAACCCATGAGCCAGTGAGGAAGTCCCCAAAGACATTAGTAAAATACACAAAGATGAATGAAAGTGACATATAACAACGTCATATGAAGACCATGAAGAGAGAAGAACTGTTCCACGTCACCATGTGTCCCTGCACACCCCACGGCCACAGAAAGAAACAGCACAACCTAACAGAGACCCCACCTTGGAAGAAGTGGGCGCCTCTTTGAAAACCACAAACTACCAAACTCAACTGAGAAGAAAGAAAGTGAATAACTACAAGTTCTGGGGAGAAAAATCTCTGGGCCCAGAGGGCTTCAATGGAGAATTTTACTCACCATTAAAAGGACATTAGCACAGTTTCACTCAGTCTGTTCCAGAACAGGAAGATGGAGCCTTTCCCAGCTGGCTTTATGAGGGGTGTTTCCCCAACAAAACAAAACCAGTCAAAAACAGCGCTCAAAGAGGGATTTACAGACCAATATCTCTCATGAACTTAGACACAAAAATTTTCAAATATACTAGGAGATTGACTCCAATAATGTATAACAAGGCTTATGTAAACTGTGGGACTTATTTCCTGTATGCAAGGTGGCTCCACATCCAAAAAAGCAATCAGTATAATACACCAACATCAACAGGTGCAGAAAAAACAAAGATCTCACAAATAGCACCAACAAAACCCTACGGCTAACACCATCCTCAGTGGTGAAGGGCTCCATGCGTTCCCCTGACACCAGGAACCTGACACCAAGGT